GAACTCTAAGAATAAACCATATTTCAACCATATTTTAAGTCATTAATCTTTTTTTAGAATAAAACTGAGCTCTTAATGAAAAGAGCAGATGTTAACAATTAACTCAAGATGCAGGTCTTCTCAAAGGATTGGTAAACCCATGGTTCTTGAACACCCGCTATAGGGTCAGCCCTGTGTCAAAAGAGGCTGAGGGAAGATTTCCTGACCCTCAAGGAGATGACAGACTACTGGCAGGCCAGACATGAAAACAGATGCCAGGCCTGGAAGCAAGAGGCTTTTCCGAGCTCTGTGGCCTGTCTGAGCTGAGTGTGTGTCACTCGGCAAGCACTCTCTACATGTATTTGCATCCTGCTTCAGATCCCTGGGCATTTAGGAACCACTAAGTAGCTGACAGATCGCTTAACCTCTCTGAGCCTTGGTTACATGACAGGTGGGCTCTGTGACTTTAAGTGTCCTTCCTACTCTGGGACACCCAGCACTAAGTCAGAGGCGCTGGAAGGCATGAGAGGTAGAGAGGAGGAGGAAAATTCTTTTCCTGTCTCTGAGGACCCCATGTGGCCCAGTACAAGGAGAGAGGACAGATCTTGTCTCATCACCCATCCTCTGATCAGTCCTAGCCCCTGTGTCCTCAAGCCCAGCTCTTCTCAATTCTCATGCCTGTGTCTTCATCCACCCCTTGACTGGCTCAGTGTTGGTGTAACGTGAATATAACCAGCCCCAGCTTGTGACAGGCTTGGCTTATTAAAAGCCTCACAAATGCTTTGGATTATGTTCTCATTCAAATGAACGAGGCTTAAGTGGAACGTTGCTATAGCATTCTAGACATAGGTAAATTAGGGGTCCCCAGGGTCCGTGGCTCAGCGCTGGTAAACAGGAAGTTTGAAGGATCAGAAAGAGAAGATCCCTTTGGGGCTGGGGCAGGGCTGTGAGTTGCCGAGCTGAGATGTCAGCAAGGGGAATGGGGCCAACCACTCGCGAAGCCCCTCATCTAAAGCGAGCTGAGACTGCTGGCAACCATCACTTCCCTTCCTGCGGGCTGCTCCGCAAGGAACCGGACGGGGTCTCGATTAATCCCCATGTGCTAATGACCGGCTATCTGGGGGTCTTGGCGGGAGAGCAAAGTTATTACAGAGCTGTGTGCTTTCTCGGGGGTGTTTGCTGAAGGTCGGTGTCCGTCTTGCTTGATTTAAGTCTTCCCAGATTCCCTGCAAAGGCTATAAACAGTGAAGTGACGAAATTGGTCCTGCAGCCAGAACAGGGAGGAGGTCTGGTCATGAGGGAGGAGAGAGGAGAAACATCAGGGCTGGAGAGAAATGAGAAACAGGGCTAACGAAGGGAAGGAACACCTCCCTGAGGCCCCCCCCTCCCCGAGGCTGCGGTAAATCCGACAGCCCGCAGCTGGTTCTGGCTGAGATCATCTGCACGTGAGGGGGCATCGCTAGTCAGGGTGAGGTTTTGATCAGACAGCACAGGAGGCCCCGCCTTGCCGGAGACACTGGTTTATGGGAAAGGGATGGCAATCCTGGTGACCTCCCAGGCAGAGTTATCCTTGTGAACTGTTGGCAGATTAATGACAGGGTAGCAGCCTAAGACACACAGCAGGGCTGAAGAGCTTGGTTTCTTAGGCTACATTTGAAGGGCCCCCATCATTCAGCCTTCCTCCTGCCCCTGGACCCACCCTTCTCCAAAGCATGTGTGTGTACACACACACACACACATGAGAACACACTAACTCAATCAGAGAGAGACTGCCTGGAGTCTGTTACTGTGGAGAGGAAACTCAGCCCAGATTCAGGAGGCTTTGCCACCTGCTGCCTCTGTGACTTCAGTCAGGCATGCAGACTTAACCCTCCTCCCCCAACTCAGTTTCCTCAGCTGTAAAACTGGGAGAATAGTTTCTCACCCCACCTATCTCTCAGGCTAGTTGTCTATGGGATCAAATGGGATAACGGATGTGAACCCAGGTCTCTGCCCTCCCCCAAATTAACTCAGAATCTCTGAGGGTGGGGGGCTGGCCTTGACCCTGGACCAGGTTCCCTAATGACTCCACACACGGACGTAGATCCACTAGCGGGAAGCTTAACACAGAAGTGTTCATGGATTTATTTGGAATTGTGTTTGTTGAGAATTTCTCTGTGCCAACCGCTGTGCTCCAGGCTTTGGCCAAATCAGAGAACAAGGCAGACACAACCCTCGCCCTCAGATCCTAAACACTGGGGAAGAGAGCTGTCGGATACACCGTGAGAGGTATACTGCATTCTAACTACCGTTGGTATGGATTCATGTGTTACTGTTTTTTTCAACAACCTATCATTGCATTATTATACTTAATTATTTTAGTGCTCACACTGTTCCAGATTTGTCCAGTGAGGACATCTTCAGGCTAGTTTCTGTTTCCTTGTGATGTGCCCCTATTTTCTCTCTTTGAGCATTCCCTTAATTTCTGAATTAGCAAGATGGTCCAGATTCATCTTCTACCTACCCTCTGCCCCAATTGTAGAATCAGCCATTTCGCCAAGGAGCCCTGGTTCTTTCTACTGGGAAATAGTATTAGAGACCAAGACCTGTGTTGCCAAGGGTGTTCAATGCTATTTTGGTGTCTTTGCTTCCTGGACCTTTCAACAAAGTTATATATATACACATAGCTACAAATATAGATACATGTATACATATATATGAGCATAAACAAACATATACATACATAGACATATTTTAGAATTTACAAGTTTCTATTGATACCTTCCGTTTCAATCTGTCCCCAAGGGGCTCTTTCTTGTCTCTCCCATTCTATATTTCTCTGACCCTGCTTCCTTAGTGAGAAGCTAGGGTCCAAATCACATAAACAAATTTACTCTGTTTGCTCAATCTTGAATTAATCTAAATTACCTTCAGAATGCTTTACCCATGCTACAACAATAAACTTGCTTTAAAAATTCAAGATTTGGTTGCATTTCTTCCCCAGTCCTACCCTATCATATCCCAGACTGAGGTTACACCGTCCAAACTATGCCGTGATTTACGTATATTTGTTCTTCCTCCCCCCTCCCCCCATTTAGTATGTTTATTGTATTCATTCAAGCAAGCAAGGCTTATTTCGTTCCAAGTATTTTTTATTAATAAAGTTTATTTTTTTGAATATGTAAAATGTTAACAGGTTTTCAAAAGTCAAAACTAGACAAAAAGTTACATCCCGAGAACTGTGACTCCTTCATATGTCCCTTTCCCCCACCCCATCCCGTGTAGGAAACAAATTCATTGTTTTTTGGTTTACCTTTCCTGTCTTTCTTCTTTTCATGATAAGCAGATATCTGCTTATTTTCTTATTTTCCCTTCTTTCTTACAGAAATAAGTGGCATACTCTGTGTGTTCTTTTGCACTTTGTTGTTTTCATTTAATAGCTTCTGGCAATGACTCCACATCAGTTAGTAGAGATTTCCTTATTCACTTGTATAGCTGCATAGAGCCCCGTGGTGTGTATGTGTACCGTGTAGTAGGTTAGCCAGTCTCCTACACTCACTTGTACATTTAGCTAGTTCCCAGTTTCCACAACAACTCTAATCCTGCACTAAATGTCCTTGTCTCACGTGTTCTCAGATTGTTGGAGGTATGTACTCTGGACAGGTTCACAGAAGTGTGATTGCTGGGTCAAAGGGTGAATGCATATTTTAAACCCCCTTCTGCAAGGCTCAAGCCATTTTGCATTCCGCTCCCAACCCACCACCACCCGGCCAGTGTTGTGTATTGTCAGTCGGATGGGTGAGAAATGTTATCACAGTGTAGTTTTAAATTGCATTTATCTTATGAGTAAATTTAAACATCTTTTTATTTATTTGGGGGCCATTTTTATGTCTCTTTTCATAATTGTTCAGGTCTGTTGTCCATTTTTCTATGGGGATTTTTGTTCCTTTATTTACAAAAACTTTTCAAGTTCCTTACGCATTTGGTATATTAGCTCTTCATCTGTGATACGGGTTGTGAATGTTTTCTCCCTGTTAGTTGCTTTTTTGGCCATGCCAACGTGCTGTGTTACTGTCCTGCAGTCAAATGTATTGATCTTTTCTTTTATTGCCTCTGGATTTTGAGGCACAGTTTAAAAAATCCTCCCACCAGACATCTCCCAAACAATTTAGCTGTCATCATCAGTTTCCCCCGCTTCCCAGAACAAAAGCCCCGAGCAGCTCAGTGCGGACCACTTCATTTCTCAAAGACCCACTTTGAGGTCTGGCTCATGCTTCCTATGTTGGGGCATCTTTCTCCTTGTCATTCATACAAAGACCAGATCTCATAAGGAGGAAGGGGTATGCGGTGTCTAGGGGAATGTGAGCAACCTTCTGAATGAGGGAATACATCACTTAGGTCTTGTTTGGCGAGCACATGATCCCAGGGGAGAAGCACCGAATCGGCTTTCCGACATGTGACCTGCTTCTCCCGTGGTCCCTCTACATCCCAGTGGTTCCTGCATGAGGCGATGTGTGAGGCAGAGGCTGTGTCCATCCCGCATCCTCACACCGCCCGCTCCTCCTCTCTGCAGCCCCCAAGCTGGGCTGGACGCGGAGTCTTTGTAGGGACTGTGCTGGGGCCAGATTTGTCCTTGTCCCTGGAGCAGTGTAATCCTATTTCAGGTACCAGGTGTCAGGGGATGGAAGGGTGCTGAGCCAGATCGAGCAAGCTCTGTTTCTTCCTACTCCCCTGCCGAGGGGTCTGAGCAAGGAGCAGCTTGAGTGGCCACTGGGCTAGCCTGTGCACCTTTACCAGTTTGCCGGAGATATGAACTGTCCTCACCTAGAGGGGTGGGACATCTCAGTTCCTCAGCCACTTGATTCTGACCCCCACTGCTCCTTTGCTCTGCTTACCAAAAGGTCATCTGGAGCTCAGGGGGGGCTGACTTGGACCTGCGGGCGGGGTGGGCGTGGGATGTGAGGACTGTAAATGAATGGGGCAGCTGAAGAGGGGTGGGTGTGGCCCCAGCGGGGGGTCTGACGGCACTGGCTCCATCACAGTGAGGTCTGCCACCGGCGACGGAGATGCGTTGTGTGTTACAGAAGAGGAGCTGGCTGGTGACGACGAGGACATGCCGTCCTTCCCGTGCACACAGGAGGGTAAGGGCTCTGGGGTGTTCTGCTGTCTTCTCTCTCGGCTGAGAGCCCCTCCCTGCCTCCATCCCCAGGCTGGGGAAAGACTTGCCTTTCTGCATGGCTTCAAAGTCCTGACTGTTCTTTCCCTGCTGCTCCCTGGAGGGTGAAAGGAAAGAGTTGCACAGACCTGGGTTAAGCAGTATGGAGGAAGTCAAAGTTTGACACAAGGGACATCTGTTCCCAGAGGTCCTCCTGAGACCTGTCTGGGACCTCTGTCGTCTCCTCCAGTCTGTCCCCTTTGTCGTATCCTATGCTGTCCAAGTGGCCTGTCCTTCTCAGGCCCCCAGGACTCACTTGGCACGTGGTTAATCCAAGAAACCAAAGCTCTCAGAACTGTTACTTGGAGTAGGTCTTCCTGGTGGGATTCATCATAGGTTAGAGCAGCTGTTCCCAAACTTGGCTATACGTTGTAATCACCCGGTGGTGCCTGAGACCGATGCTGAGACATTGTGATTTCTTTTACTCTGAAGTGTGGACAGGGCATCAGGATTGTTAAACATTCCTGGTACTTGTATTGTGCAGCCGAAGTTGACTTCACCTTCGAAATTTCACAGCTGGGAACATCACTGCATTTCTTCTGGGTGCTGGCCACCTCCCAGAGTAGCCAGGAACACCTGCCTCCCTCCTTCCTCCATAGTGGGGACCAGCTGATACACTGGAACCTTCTGTTTGGTTTCCAGGAGAACTGCTGGTTACCTGCAAGTTTGGGTACTGGGGACCAACCTTCTAGTTGTCCTGGGACTGAGGGGTTTCCCAGGGTATGTGATTTTCAGTTTTAAAACTGAAGACTGTCTTGGCAAACCATCCTGGTTTGACCCATACTGAGGAGTTCCCATAAGAGGAGACTTTCAGGGCTAAAATCTGGGAAAGTCCTAGGCAAACTGGGGCAAGTTGTTCACCTAGTGGTGAAGCGAGGCTGGTGGCCCTGTGTTGCGGATCATGAGTAAGGCTGATGTTTTGGAAAGAGGTGTTTCCCCATCCCATGGGCTGAATGACGATGCCATAGAGAGAGAATGATGGCGCAAAGGGGGTGCCCTTTGAAGACCTCCATCTCTGGTCTCGCCTATTCCAGAAAGCTCTAAGACCTTGAGACTAGGCAGTGAGATGGGTCAAGATGAGGACTGAGAACAGCATCCTCTCTGAGACTGGTTCAAAATGTGGTGAGACAGGCCAGCGCGGGAGCATGGAACTGACCCTTCAGCTGCAGCCTCAGTCACTGGCCCCCTTTTCCACCCCCTACAGGCCGGCCGGGGCCCCGCTGCAGCCGCTGTCAGAAAAACCTGTCTTTGCACACGTCCGTGCGGATCCTTTACCTCTTCCTGGCCCTGCTCCTGGTGGCCGTGGCCGTGCTGGCCTCTCTGGGTGAGTGCAGGCTCTCAGTACCAGCAGGCTAGTCCAGGGCTCTCTACCCTGGGCTGCTGGAGATTTCTCATCAGGGGTTTGTCCTGCACTAAAAACCCCTACAAAGCCTGATACAGGTCTCAGCGGCTCAGGGCCCAGAACCAGCATCTTTCTAGCCAGAGGATCTTAATGCTTGATTCAAACTGTCAAGACTAGCTTCCAATTTCTGGTCAATGATTAGCTGTGTGGCCTTGAGCAAGGCATGTCCCCTCTCAGGGCCTCTGTTTTCCTGTTGGTAAATGAGAGGATGGGACAAGACTGTGATTCTCAGTTTCAGCCCCAAAATAGAATCACCTGGAAGTCATTCAAAAATACTGATGCCTGGGCCCCACCCCAGATGCTGGAATAATTCAGTATTTTTAAGCTCTTCAGTTGATTCTGGTGTGCATCCAGGGCTGAGATCACCGGATCTGACAATGTCCAAGCCCTTTCCATGGTCTTTGTGTTTCTCAACAAAATGAGGTTGACGCCTGCCTGCATCCAGGTCGTCCCCAAGATTTGTTAAAATGCAAATTCCTGGGTCCCACCCAGACCTACAAATTCAGGGTCCTGCAGGTAAGGCCCAGGAATCTGAAGTTTGGTGGTTCTCATCACACTACAGTTTGTAGGACTGTGATAGCTGACCCAGGTATGGCACACTGCCAGATTCAGGTAACTTCTGCCTTCACGATGTTAACAGTCTGTGTTTAAAAGTGAAAACAAATTTGAAAGCTTCTTATTGCAACTCCATTCCATTCTTAGCTTCAGATTAAAAAAATCTTTACTAAGGGAAGCCAGTAGATTGGTTTGTTCCAATGGACTAGATGTTGGAGAAAAGGCTGGGACTCAGGTGAGGCAAGGGAGGCAGGGAGGATGCCACATTCCTGGCGCTGACCCTGGACTTGTGCGTCCCCTTAACAGGATGGTGGCTGGTCCCTGCCCTAGTTAGAGATATTCAGTAACTGGCTTTCTTGGCTTCAAGATAAGAGGCCAGCATATTAATGATTTGAACAGATACTCCAGTCATCATCCAATAATCCTGAAGATGTTAATTAACTCCAACACAAGCCAAGCACCTACTATGCACCAGGTGATAGGAACACTGAGATGAGTCCATTACATTTCGCCATCAAAAGGAGTGGTTCTCAATCTTGTCAGCACATTAGAATTCCTCTGAGAACATTTAAAAACACTGGTGCCCACCCCAATGTTCACAGTAGCATTATTTACAATAGCCAAGACATGGAAGCAACCTAAATGTCCATCGACAGATGACTGGATAAAGAAGATTTGGTATATTTGTACAATGGAACACTACTGAATCATAAACAAGAATGAAATAATGCAATTTGCAGCAACATGGATGGACCTAGAGATGACCATGCTAAGTGAAGTAAGTCAGACAGAGAAAGACAAATATCATATGACATCACTTATGTGTGCAATTTAAAAAAAAATGATAACAAATGAACTTATTTACAAAACAGGAAGAGACTCACAAACATAGGAAACAAATTTATGGTTATAGGGAAGGAAAGGAGGGGAGGGATAAATTAGGAGTTTGGGATTAGCAGATATAAAGTATTATATATAGAATAGATGAACAAGGTCTTAATCCATAGCACAGGGAACTACATTCAGTATCTTGTAATAACATATAAAGAAAAAGAATATAAAAAAGAATATATATAACTGAATCGCTATGCTATACACCAGAAACTAACACATTATAAACTTCCATTAAGAAGTTCCATTTTTCCATTAAGAAAATAAATAAAATAAAAAGAAAACAAAAAGATATGGATGCCAAAGCCTTTCTCTCCAGATAAATGAAATCGGGTCTCTGGGTGGGACCCAGGCCCTAACTGTTCAGGAAATCTCCTCAGATGGTTCCGATGTGTGGCCAGGTTGAGAACCACTGATTTCAAGAATTTTCCCAGCCCCTACCCTCATTTAGCCCCACCTTCTCTCTGCTAAATCACTTCACAGAGTTTGGCATCTCAGAAAGTGGCCAAATTCCTGGCCCCGGGGAGGGTGAGGAGCTGGGGCCCTGCCGTTCAGAGGCAGCAAACTGATCTTTGGACTTCTAACGGTTCCTGGCCAGCCCTTAGACAGCCCCCGCTCTCAGCCCCCATGGGACCATTCACAAAGCCCCAGTAGCCCAGAGAAGAGCCCAGGCACCCACTGGGGGCCCGGCAGTAGCCCATACAGGATGTCCACACATTTTCCCAACAAAGCCTCAAGCTGGGAGGCTGGCCCCATTGCGCGCAGGAGGAGGCAGATCTGGGAGGTGAGATGCTCTGCTCCCAGGTCCGTGGTGGGAGGGCAGAGGATCATAAGAATTGGTGGGAGCATTGTGTTTGGGGACTCCAAGAGGGGACTCTAGGATTTCCTTTTTGGTTTCTAGCTCTAGCCTGAGTGTCCCAAGTCCCCAGAACAGTGCTGGCACCATCCCCGCCAGGTTGGTAGGTACTCAGTCACATTTGTCGAATGAATGACTAGGAATTTGTGAGCACACATGTGACTAGTCCTAGTCAATGCTGCAGAATCAGGTCCGTGGCCCACATCCAGAGGTTGGGCAAAATCAGTGTTCCTCTCAGTGGACATGAAAAATCCACTAAATTCATTTAATCAGGTATTTTTTTGCATGCAAACTATAGGCCAAGAACTGTAGTAGGCACTGGGCATATATTGCTTAATACAACATGGGCCTTGTTCATGGAGTTTATGACCCAGAGATGGATGGATGAAAAGAAAAAATGGACAGATGTACAATAAAGTAAATAAAGCAAAATGTTAATTTATAGAAACTAGGAGGCAGATACATGAATATTTACTGTCTAATAAATTATTGATTATTCTGTTTGGGAATTTTTATAATTCAAGGTTATAAGAGAAAAAATTGATAGACTCATACCTCCAAAATATATCTATTTATTTATAAATTATATGTGTACTCTTTACATCATAAAACACAATTTTGAAAGAATGAAAAAAATAAAGTCTAAAAAGTGAGAAAAATGGCTAAACAAACATATTAATGTGTAATTACAAATCATGAAATATTCAGTGAAGAAATGAACAGTGAATTATATGAGTGAACCCCTGGCTATTGGCTTAGACGTTGACTTTGAAAGCCTTAGAGTAGGAATCAAAGCCATGCATTCTCTCTGCATCTCTGTCCCCCCATCTGTGCTGGGGAATCTTCACTGGTAAGAGATTCAAATGGAATAATAAATACTGTAAACTATGAAGTGCTGGTCTAGGGATCTCTCAACATGTAACTGTAAGTAATAAAATCTCAACATGTAAATATGAGGAAAGCTTGATCCTAGAAATAATCCTTGTATATGATGGCTGCATGTGTGTGGTTATTCTTTTAGGATAAATTGCTGGAAGTAGAATTGATGGATCAAAGGGTCTTAATATTTCTGATATTCTACGAAGAGTTCTCTGAGCTAAAACCCTGCCTCAGTTTCTCACCTGTATGTCCCCTGCAGTTTTCAGGAAAGTGGACTCCCTCTCAGAAGACATCTCCCTGGCCCAGGCCATGTATGACAAGAAGCTCGTGTCTATGCAGGAGGATCTCCAAGGGCTGGGTGAGTGTTCAGTGTCCAGACATGCCAATGACTATGACAGAAGGCCAGTATTATTTGGGGTGGGGTGAGGGTTCCCCCCAGGCCACAATGCCCCGGAGCAAGGAAGCCTTCACCAAACTTCTAAGCACAAAGGAAGGATAGTCAAGGCTCCCTGTCGCCCTGTCCAGCTGGAGAACCATCCAGCCAGTGAAGGCTGCTTTCTCTGGACACAACCGGGAATGGGGCTGGGGATTCTGTGTGGTACCCAGAGCCTCCAGACAGAAAAAGAGAGCCAAAGACAGTCCACTCCCCAATATCCTCACGTACCTGAAATTACTTTTAAGGTCTTCCAAATACCCTTGACAAGTTGGTCATTTCCTCATCACTGCCTTAAAATTTGTACAACTGATCTCTTTATCACCTGCTTTAACAAGGGACATTGTCACTCTGAAAGTGAGACAAAAGGAGCCATGACAGAAGGGTTTAGAGGCAGTCTACTTGGTGGAAAGAGAAGGTCCTGTTCTGCCACTAATTAGCTGAGTGACGTTTGGCAAGTCACTCCTCTGAGCCTCATTTCTCATCAGTCACGGGGAGAAAAATCCCTGCACTTTCTTCTCCACACTCTTGGGAGACAATCAAATAAAACAAATATAAAAATATTGGGAGAAACTTAAAAAATAAAATGTAAATAGGAGGTTCCTGGCAACCTCAGAAAAATTTTGAAGATACAGTATCAAAAATTTGGTATTAGGATGGAGAAAATGTCCAAAATCCTACATTTCGGGTCAGAATAAAGACTTTCGGTAGCAGTAAGATTGCATAGAGATGGCAAGGCTTTTCCAAAGAGGATTTCATAGCAGGTCTTAGGAAAGGAAGAGGGATAGGAAAGCCACTTACCAATTCACTATGCTCTGAAATATTAAATTTAAAGAAGCAGTCTTTGTTCCATGATCCTTCAGCAACTCAACATGTTGTCACTTTCCCCCAAA